GGTCTCTCGTGGCCTTGAGGTTAAGGTGTTCGCCTCCCATTCAAAGGTCCCGGGTTCGAATCCGGATAATGACAGAAATTTTTCTTTTCTTCTCTACAAACATTGTCTCTTTTCACCTCCGTTCCTGCTCTCTAGCAATGTTCTGTCGTCTGCTTTCGTCTCCACTACGGAGTGGGTGGCCGTGGTTCGAATCCTAGACTGGGCGTTCTTGAGCTCGGGTCGTTTTATTGAGTTCGTTTTGTTGAAGTCGTTTTATTGAAGTCGTTTTGTTGAAGTCGTTTTATTGAAGTCGTTTTATTGAAGTCGTTTTGTTGAAGTCGTTTTTATTGAAGTCGTTTTGTTGAAGTCGTTTTGTTGAAGTCGTTTTATTGAAGTCGTTTAATTGTGCTGTGATCGTTTTATTGAAGTCGTTTTACTGAAGTGGTATTATTGAGTTCGTTCTATTGAAGTTCTTTTATTGAAGTCGTTTTATTGAGGTCGCTTTACTGAGGTCGTTTTACTGAGGTCGTTATATTGAGTTTTCAATGCTCTCATCAGTCCATTTGGCTCGCCCCTATCGCAGACCCATGTTACGTTTGGAAGTCCCTCCTCTTCATTCATTCATTCATCCATTCAGTACCAGATCTGCGACAGACATTGGCTATCATGGTTCTCCATTCATTCCTTCGCTCGGATGCTCTTAAAAAGCTACGTTTCCCTGATCTTTCCCCGTTACCCATTTGTGTAGGTTCCCTAAGTAGGTTGCTCTGGGCCTACCCTTGTCTCGCTTGCCCACCTCTTAAATAACCTAATAAGTGTTGGTAGGAGCGTTAAACTCGGACATTCAACACACACCTGACTCTCCATAGGCTACACCTTACACGAACCTGTCTCTCCGCTGTCAATGAAGAAGAATCCCGAAAGTGAAGATCTCGCGCAGACTCCGTGATGATCATCGATGACGTCACAAACATGGCGATGGGGAGACAACAAAGCTTCGGAGCAGACGTCCAGCACAGCGATGGTTGGGGTGACCCTTCGAGGCACGGGTTCTTTTGCACTGTCAAGTTTTTTACATTCAAAACATTAAATTCTTAGGCGGTATAAATGAAGAATTGAACAGGAAATTAAAACCAGCCGAAGAAGAAAAGAATCCTTGTCGATGACTGGCTGAATGGGGAAATGAATGGGTGGGAGTAGGAATTTCCGAAAAATGGTAAACTTAGAAGGGTTAGTTTGACTTTTTATGTTTTTGATATATATATA